GAGAAAAGGAGAAAGGAGAAAAGGAGAAAGGAGAAAAGGAGAAAGGAGAAAAGGAGAAAGGAGAAAAGGAGAAAGGAGAAAAGGAGAAAGGAGAAAAGGAGAAAGGAGAAAAGAGAAAGGAGAAAAGGAGAAAGGAGAAAAGGGGAAAGGAGAAAAGGAGAAAGGAGAAAAGGAGAAAGGAGAAAAGGAGAAAGGAGAAAAGGAGAAAGGAGAAAAGGAGAAAGGAGAAAAGGAGAAAGGAGAAAATGGGAAAGGAGAAAAGGAGAAAGGAGAAAAGGAGAAAGGAGAAAAGGAGAAAGGAGAAAAGGAGAAAGGAGAAAATGGGAAAGGAGAAAAGGAGAAAGGAGAAAAGAGAAAGGAGAAAAGGAGAAAGGAGAAAAGGAGAAAGGAGAAAAGGAGAAAGGAGAAAAGGGGAAAGGAGAAAAAGAGAAAGGAGAAAGGAGAAAAGGGGAAAGGAGAAAAGGAGAAAGGAGAAAAGGAGAAAGGAGAAAAAGAGAAAGGAGAAAAGGAGAAAGGAGAAAAAGAGAAAGGAGAAAGGAGAAAAGGGGAAAGGAGAAAGGAGAAAGGAGAAAAAGAGAAAGGAGAAAGGAGAAAAGGGGAAAGGGAGAAAAGGAGAAAGGAGAAAAAGAGAAAGGAGAAAGGAGAAAAGGGGAAAGGAGAAAAGGGAAAGGAGAAAGGAGAAAAAGAGAAGGAGAAGGAGAAAGGAGAAAGGAGAAAAGGAGAAAGAAAGGAGAAGGGAGAAAAGGAGAAAGAAAGGAGAAAGGAGAAAAGAGAAAGGAGAAGGAGAAAAGGGGAAAGGAGAAAAAGAGAAAGGAGAAAGGAGAAAAGGGGAAAGGAGAAAAGGAGAAAGGAGAAGAGAAAAGGAGAAAGGAGAAAAGGAGAAAGGAGAAAGGAGAAAAGGGAAAGGAGAAAAGGGAAAGGAGAAAAGGAGAAAGGAGAAAAGGAGAAAGGAGAAAGGAGAAAGGAGAAAAGGGGAAAGGAGAAAAAGGAGAAAGGAGAAAAGGAGAAAGGAGAAAGGAGAAAGGAGAAAGGAGAAAGGAGAAAAGGGGAAAGGAGAAAGGAGAAAGGAGAAAGGAGAAAAGGAGAAAGGAAAGAGAAAAGGAGAAAGGAGAAAAGGGGAAAGGAGAAAAGGGGAAAGGAGAAAAGGAGAAAGGAGAAAAGGAGGAAAGGAGAAAGGAGAAAGGGGAAAGGAGAAAGGAGAAAGGAGAAAAGGAGAAAGGAGAAAAGGAGAAAGGAGAAAGGGGAAAGGAGAAAGGAGAAAGGGAGAGAAGGAGAAAGAAGAAAAGGAGAAAGGAGAAAAGGGGAAAGGAGAAAAGGAGGAAAGGAGAAAAGGAGAAAGGAGAAAAGGAGAAAGGAGAAAAGGGGAAAGGAGAAAAGGAGAAAGGAAGAAAAGGAGAAAGGAGAAAAGGGGAAAGGAGAAAAGGGGAAAGGAGAAAAGGAGAAAGAGAAAAGGAGAAAGGAGAAAAGGGGAAAGGAGAAAAGGGAAAGGAGAAAAGGAGAAAGGAGAAAAGGAGAAAGGAGAAAGGAGAAAGGAGAAAAGGGGAAAGGAGAAAAGGAGAAAGGAGAAAAGGGAAAGGAGAAAAGGAGAAAGGAGAAAAGGAGAAAGTAGAAAAGGGGAAAGGAGAAAGGAAAGGAGAAAGGAGAAAAGGGGAAAGGAGAAAAGGAGAAAGGAGAAAAGGAGAAAGGAGAAAAGGGGAAAGGAGAAAAGGGGAAAGGAGAAAAGGAGAAAGGAAAAAAAGGAGAAAGGAGAAAAGGAGAAAAGAGAAAAGAGAAAGGAGAAAGGGAAAGGAGAAAAGGAGAAAAGGAAAGGAGAAAAGGGGAAAGGAGAAAAGGAGAAAAGAGAAAAAGAGAAAGGAGAAAAGGGGAAAGGAGAAAAAGGAGAAAGGAGAAAGGAGAAAGGAGAAAGGAGAAAAGGAGAAAAGGAGAAAGGAGAAAAGGAGAAAGGGAGAGAAAAGAGAAAGGGAGAAAGGAGAAAGGAGAAAAAGGAGAAGGAGAAAAGGAGAAAAGAGAGAAAAGGGAAAAGGAGAAAAGGAGAAAGGAGAAAAGAGAAAGGAGAAAAGGAAAGGAGAAAAGGAGAAAGGAGAAAAAGAGGAAAGGAGAAAAGGAGAAAGGAGAAAAAGGAGAAAGGAGAAGAAAGGAGGAAAGGGAAGAAAAGGAGAAAGGAGAAAAGGAGAAAGTAGAAAAGGAAAGGAGAAAAGAGAAAGAGAAAAAGAGAGAGGAGAAAAGGGGAAAGGAGAAAAGGAGAAAGGAGAAAAGGAGAAAGTAGAAAAGGAGAAAGGAGAAAAGGGGAAAGGAGAAAAGGAGAAAGGAGAAAAAGAGAAAGGAGAAAAGGGGAAAGGAGAAAAGGAGAAAGGAGAAAAGGAGAAAGTAGAAAAGGGGAAAGGAGAAAAGGAGAAAAGAGAAAAAGAGAAAGGAGAAAAGGGGAAAGGAGAAAAGGAGAAAGGAGAAAAGGAGAAAGGAGAAAAGGAGAAAGTAGAAAGGGGAAAGGAGAAAAGGAGAA